AGAAAAAAATGATACTAGAGAAGAACCGATGCCAGGAAAAAGAACCAACACCAGAACAGAGCTGGAGTTGTGTTTTGTTTCATTCACATGTTTAACTCACAAACCTGCACATTTAACACGAGTTCTTCTCTCAAACAAAAAAACACTCTGTTCCACCTTGTGATGTCATCATGTGGTGATACAGGAAGTGCTCCACACACCTTCACTAGAATCATCTGGATCATTTTTTCAGTCCTGGAGTTTCTTTACCGATCTCGACTGAACTAAAGGGAAGAGGAGCTGAGAACCTGGAAACTACCACTTGATGACATCACAAGGTGGAGCAGAGTGTTTGGAGTTTTGTAGATGTAACAGACTCAGAATAAAGATTTACTCAAACAAACACAACTCCAGCTCTGAGTGTGACCAGGAACAGAGGAACAACAGAACATGAGAACATTAGAACATGACTTAGAGCTCCTCTTTATCTTCACACTCTGGTGTATCTTTACTCCTCGGTTCTTCGTTGGTGTTTTAGAAAACGTTAATGTTACTCGCTACTTAAAATTCACCGTCCACTCAGAGCAGGACCGAGTGTGACCAGCAGGGGGCGCAGGAGACGAAAGGGTTTTGAGCTCAAAAAGAAGCTCAGTCTCTGTCGGGACTCACACACCTTTACTGCTTTGTGTAAGAATATTATAAGCCTGTGTCATTCATGTGTGTGTGTGTGTGATACAGGGGTGTGTGTGTGTGTGTGTGTGTGTGTGTGTGAGATACAGAAGAGTGTGTGTGTGTGTGTGTGTGTGAGTGTGTGTGAGTGTGTGTGTGAGTGTGTGTGTGATACAGAAGAGTGTGTGTGTGTGTGTGAGTGTGTGTGTGAGTGTGTGTTTGATACAGAGGAGTGTGTGTGTGTGTGTGTGTGATACAGAAGAGTGTGTGTGTGTGTGTGATACAGGGGAGTGTGTGTGTGCTGTGTGTGTGTGTGTGTGTGAGTGTGTGTGTGAGTGTGTGTTTGATACAGAGGAGTGTGTGTGTGTGTGTGTGTGTGTGATACAGAAGAGTGTGTGTGTGTGTGTGTGTGTGTGATACAGAAGAGTGTGTGTGTGTGTGATACAGAGGAGTGTGTGTGTGTGTGTGTGATACAGAAGAGTGTGTGTGTGTGTGTGTGTGTGTGTGGTGTGATACAGAGGTGTGTGTGTGTGTGTGTGATACAGAAGAGTGTGTGTGTGTGTGTGTGTGATACAGAAGAGTGTGTGTGTGTGTGTGTGTGTGTGTGATACAGAGGTGTGTGTGTGTGTGATACAGAAGAGTGTGTGTGTGACACAGAAGAGTGTGTGTGTGTGTGATACAGAGGAGTGTGTGTGTGTGTGTGTGTGATACAGAAGAGTGTGTGTGTGTGTGTGATACAGAATAGTGTGTGTGTGTGTGATACAGAGGAGTGTGTGTGTGTGTGTGTGATACAGAAGAATGTGTGTGTGTGTGTGATACAGAGGTGTGTGTGTGTGTGTGTGATACAGAAGAGTGTGTGTGTGTGTGTGTGTGTGTGTGATACAGAGTGTGTGTGTGTGTGTGTGATACAGAAGAGTGTGTGTGTGACACAGAAGAGTGTGTGTGTGTGTGTGATACAGAAGAGTGTGTGTGTGTGTGTGTGTGTGTGTGTGTGATACAGAGGTGTGTGTGTGTGTGTGTGATACAGAAGAGTGTGTGTGTGACACAGAAGAGTGTGTGTGTGTGTGATACAGAGGAGTGTGTGTGTGTGATACAGAAGAGTGTGTGTGTGACACAGAAGAGTGTGTGTGTGTGTGATACAGAGGAGTGTGTGTGTGTGTGTGATACAGAAGAGTGTGTGTGTGACACAGAAGAGTGTGTGTGTGTGTGTGATACAGGGGAGTGTGTGTGTGTGTGTGTGTGTGTGTGAGTGTGTGTGTGAGTGTGTGTTTGATACAGAGGAGTGTGTGTGTGTGTGTGTGTGTGATACAGAGGAGTGTGTGTGTGTGTGTGTGTGATACAGAAGAGTGTGTGTGTGTGTGTGTGTGTGATACAGAAGAGTGTGTGTGTGTGTGTGTGTGTGATACAGAAGAGTGTGTGTGTGTGTGTGTGTGATACAGAGGAGTGTGTGAGTGTGTGTGTGTGATACAGAGGTGTGTGTGTGTGTTTGGCTCTTTGAACCCAGTTACGCAGGTTTGTGGATGAGTTTCTGTCAAAATTATAATAAATAAAATGCACACACACACACACACACACACACACTTCTGTACTCTGTGAGGTGGCTGCAGTGTCTTGCCCAAAGACACAAGGACAGAACTTGGTCCCAGTGGGATTTGATCCTCTGACCTTCAGGTTTTGGGTTTGGTTCAGTCAGTCGCTGTCATAACTCTGTTCCTCCTCCAGGGGCGCTGTTCCTCTGAGGAGGTCAGGTGTTTTTTGAGGAGGTGTTTGTGACAGGGCAGGAGCGGCAGGAGCGGCAGGAGCGACAGGAGCGGCAGGAGCGGCAGGAGCGGCAGGAGCGGCAGGAGCGGCAGGAGCGGCAGGAGCGGCAGGGGCGGCAGGAGCGGCAGGGACAGGCTGGGCCCTGGCGCTGCTCTGTAAACACTGGGGATGTAACAATAACCAAAATATCATGATATCGTATCGTCAAAAGTCTCAATAACATCGTGGGCGTCACAATAATCGAATCACAAGTTTTTTTGTTTAAATTCAGGTTTTATAGA